TGGAGACAAGTGAGAAATACGACAGAAACATCTTAGTGCTCAGAAATGGCTGTTCCATGAGGAAATTTGATGATTACAAAAATAACTAGTTTCACTGGTCAAAGAATGAAACATGCAAGTCTTTTTTTTTCTCACGCAAAGATAGAAAGTGCAGAACACCGCAGTATGTTGTTTCACCTTCTTTCAAGATAGCTTCAAAACCATAGTAGTTGTCAAAGATGCTAATTTTTGCCGCGCGTACTACACTTTAAAAGCCCTATACCAACACAGAATATTGAAGTAAAGCAGATTAAAAGTACATTTGTATAGTATGGACAGGATTTCGAGTGAAACCATACACGAGAAGCTGTAAACTAAGCGCACAAAAACAATGCTCCGATATTACGTGTAACCTAAAATGGGGATACTGGGCGCTCAAGCACTACCTTCACTCAAAAACACGTTTTGAAAATGTCTCAATAATTAGTAAGCGCAATAAAAACTCAAAAATTCAGTCTTGTAAGAGTTCCTTGTTTTGCTTAAAGCTTCTTTTGAATGTATAACCCTAAACAATCAGATGAACTCAATGGGAACTCATCCAAGTAATCTCAAGTGACGATTAATAGGATGAAAACTCACAGAACAGTCCTTCATTGTTGCAGCTAGGAGATACTGTTCTAGAAGAGCTCGATCGTCAGTCGCTTCCAATATTTCCAATCCTCTCACAGGAAGCCGAGTTTTGTAGTGTAGTTCTTTCTGACAAATGATTAATGCTTTGTCGGAGGAAGGAAAATCCCACTGGAGTATCATACCTGTACAGCAGCTGGGAGACTTTTGTAAATCTGGTGAGCTTTCACTATCCCCACTGAATCGATCTTTTGCGCAGCCAAGATTTGTCCAAGGACCGAATGCTCCCGTAAAGAAAAGTCACGCACATCGTCACATCCTGCTAGCACTAGGCAGAGCTAAACGACATGGCTTCAGTCTTGAGATGTAATTTCAACGAATGTGAGAACTGTTTTTCTGAAGTCGTACCGCTGTAATCAAGTCGTCCGCGTTTCCTTGCCCGCTTGGAAAAAGTGTGGTTGAAAAAAGATCAGCATCAAGAAGGGATTCGTCCGAGTGAATCTAAATACTTCATTATTAAACCCTACTATATGGCGCGCTCGCTCTGGTCTGTCACAAAAATCGCTACTACATGGAAAACCACCTGCAGAGCTTGGGTCAAGTTTGAGATGGATGCAGTATGGGTAAGGA